ATTTCAAAAAAGAAGTTCTGTCAAGCCACGAAAGAGACTGGATGGTCCACTAATTCTAGTTCCATGAAATACTAATAAAATACTAAATAGAGTTCTTTTAAAATAACAGAATCAGAATGCTATATATGCCTGTAGTCTCCTGATGTGTGGGGTCCTTTTGTATAAAGACAGCACTTCATTAGCACATTTCAAAAAAGAAGTTCTGTCAAGCCACGAAAGAGACTGGATGGTCCACTAATTCTAGTTCCATGAAATACTAATAAAATACTAAATAGAGTTCTTTTAAAATAACACAGGTTGGTCTCTGCCATCCATTTCACTAACAGTTCTGGCAGTCTTAAGCAACATCTTGATCTTTGCATTACTCTGGAGTCACTGTAAGCAGAAAAAGAAAGGTAAGATATCAGTGGAATCCTCTTTCTTTCTTAGTTCCTTCATATCAAACAAGAATTCAGTCATTAATCAGAGTCAGGTAGGCCCATGCCCTCAAGCATCAAAGCCATCCACGGCAGACATTGCAAAGGGCTGTCAGGAGTCTTGTGCCCTTCTGGTACACGAGCTGGAGGCAAAGCACAATACTTTAGCCTCTATATGAGTAAGCAGAACCCATGATAAGAGCCAGACGATGGGCTCTGCCCACTCTGCTGTGTAAAGTGTCCTCCATTAAACTGTTCTGTACATTGCTTCCTCTTGCTTTGACATGTCGGCTTTTTCACAAGTAGCCTCACCAATATTTGGGAAATCACCAGTATTTTCTTTGACTGGCTGCATTACAAGACACCTCCACTTTTGGTTTTGTACCAGAGCAAACACAAGCTTGGCATAAATTCCCCCCAGCACCCTGTCCCAGTCCTATGCTGTGAATAGCAAAATTTTCTTCTGTGTTTAAAGGATTTCCACGCTTTGACTTGCATAATCCTTTTCAGTCATCTAGCCCATAACCCAGAGCAGCAACTAAACATTCCTCTGTTTAATAATGCTTAGGCGTTTGTGAGTACAGCCTCAGAAAAGGGAGTCATCCTTTCTGATCTGTTCTGCTTTGTTCTCTCTTCCAGATGACTCCAGACTTAATGAGGAAGGTAATCTATACTAAATAAGTATTCAGAACATTTGTTAAAGAAATAAAAGGCAAAGGTTGACATGTAAAACTGACGGCTTTTGCAGGTCAGACTTCTGCTACAGGTAGAAGGGAAAAAGCTATTTGCAATATTTAAACTTAGATGGCACTGAGCTTTAGATGGGAAAGATGCCACTCTGCTGTTCCCAGCTACACTGTTGACATTTTTGCATGGCCAGAGTCAGTGGGAAACTACTTGTCTCTCACACAGTTCGTCCTCAAGGACAGTGCTTCTCATGCAGCAGAATCACTCCAGCTGAAAAATCTTAGTTCCCATCTTACATGTTTGTCATGTGTCTTTGTCCACCATTCTGCCATTGTATTTGGCCCTCTTGGCAGGAGAACCGTGAGGGATGAGGTGTGTCACGCCAGATAGCGCACACAGGCATCAGGAACTAATGGCCACATGGATGGAGGTGTGTGGGAGGGAGCTGTATGGGTGCCCAGAGCACATCTACGTGCAGGCTGGCATTGAGAAGACTCTGCTGCGCCACAGATGTTGCCCGAGTTCTTCCTATGTGGTAGCTAAATCTACTTATTTTTCAATTTAAAGACACAACAATCAATTTTTTTAAATATCTTTTATTTTGCAGGGCACCTCTTGTTAGGTGAAGGTAAGTGCTCATTTCTCCTCACATGTCCTCCCTTTGTACAGGCCTTTAAATCTGGGGGGGAATATCTGTAAGGAGCTATCACCCTGCCCCAACTTTAGTGTGGCTTATTTCCATAATTTTTTGTGGGAGCAGAGGGCATTGGTTCATGCAAATGAGATATTTTAAGCATCTCCTAAAGACTCCCAACACTTCATTCAGAGATGCTATGAGTACCTCAAGTGAAGGTATAAGTATTGCTTGTTGACCTCTTCTCTGAGATTTCCTTATCTCAGATGAGTGTCCATGGCACCTACGACTGCACTGCTGATGGTCACCTGTGCCAAGGACAGTAACATAAGTGGACAAGAGATACAGTTTGTAGGTCCATCCACGAAAGTGGCATTCTACCCTTGCAGAGCGGCTCTCCATGCAGCCCAAAAGGGCAGTGATCTTGCAGTCCAGCAAAAGGTGCCCATATTAAATCAACCCAGCTGAGGCATTCAGGTGTGGCTGCAAGTTGCGTGAAAGACTTGGCCCTGAGAGAACCTCATGTGGGAAGGAGGAAAAAGGGAAGGAATGACAAAGAGAGGGAGGGAAGGAGAGATGGAAGGAAGGAAACTCTGGTGGGGTGGAGGAATATGGATTTCAGTGTGGACAGAAGTCTTCTTGTCTGATGTCTTTTAAGTCCAGCTGCATGGCCATGGCCATGGCAAGTTGCCTTTGGAGCAGCAGCGAGACACCAGCACCCTCAAGGTTGCAAGGGACAGGATTTGGGCTTAGTACAAACTCGCACTTGTCCATGAATATACTCGACTTCTCGGAAGGATGCCAACTCTAGCATAACGCTTTCCATAGCTTCATGCAATACATTCTGCAGTGACTGTAACAGTCCTCCAACTCCCTATTGTAGGACAATTTCAACATATAGCAGGTGAGTGCTGCATGGCAAATGCATCAGTTCTAGAACCTAAGGATGTATAGTGCCTTGCAGCTGCTGAGAGCCCATGGTTGGTAATAAACCCGCAGAGCCTCCAGGCTCCGTGCTTGACGCATGCCACGGGATCCCCATTCCTGAAGATCCCTTTCACCACAGGAGCCATGAGATAAGGCAAACAAAAGGCAGAGACAGCCAAAGGCCCACATTTGGAGCCCAGGTGGGGACTGAGCCCAGTGATTTCTCTTTGCTAACTGACTTTCCCCTTCCTTTTGTAGCCCAAGTGAGAGAGATGATGGGTGAGTAGTCTCTGCTGTCTGGGATGTTGCCATTCTGGAAGGAGAGATGCCTTCTAAGAGGGACATGCTTGTATCTGTGAGACAAGATTTCTCCATACGAACCATGAACACAGTGTCACTGGGATCCCTATAGCAGGTGCCCATATTTGGGATATGCTGCTGAGGCGTTCACGTGTCAGTGAAATCATCAGGACTATCATGTCTCTGAAAAAAGTTCATGTAGGAGACAGGGAAGATGGAAGGCACGACAAACAGAGGGAGGGAAGTAGAGAAGGAAGTAAACAAGGAAATACTGATAGGGTTGAGCAGTATGGTTATCAGTGTGGAGGGAAGTCACCCTCTTGTGAGGTCTTTTAAGACCAGCTGCATGGCCTTGGCAAGTTGCCTTCATTCTGTCCAGAACCAGCAGCACCGTCAAGGTTGCTTGAGACAGGACATGGCCTCAGCACACACATGCTCTAGGCCATGGTGTCACTCCATTTCTTGGGAGGATCCAGCTCCAGCAAAACCATTCCCTTGGCTTCATGCACTGATCCTCACAAGTTTGTGCAGAGTCTTTCTGCTCTCCTTCGCAGGACAACTCCAACGGATGACAGGTGAGTGTTGCGTGGCATGTTGGGGGCTGCTTGTCCCTATAGGTGATGATGGAATGGGGAGCACCCTGTGTTCCTGGGCCCATACCTCATTCCCGAGAGATGCAAACAGAGCCTGCTGTTTGCCTTCCCCTATGCCCCTTGCTCTCCTGCCCTGACATAACAACACTGCTCTGGCATGGTGGAATCCACAGAAATGCCTAGGGTGACAGTCATGGGCTTTTGTCAATTGGTCCTACCCATCAAAGTGGCAGTCCACCAATGCCAGGGGGAATGTTCTCTATATGTCTAGCCTCATCCTCCCTATCTGTGTTCCATGCAGATGATTCCCTGCTAAACAGTCATCCCCCACCTATCCTCGCTTCTTAACGTACACTTGGGCAATGTCTTTCCTGGAGGTACAGGCTCCTTGCAGATGCTTCCCCTGAATCTCCTCTTGGCCACATGGAAGTATTCCTTGGCCTCCCCTACCAGCCCATCATAGCACCTCCACCACCATCCTGCACAGCTATGGAGATCTCTGCTGAGGCCTCCACAGTCCCTCCCTATCTCCTGTGAACTCAGCAGCCCACAGATGATCACTCAATGCCACCTGTGGCCTCTCCAACCTCTCTCCATACATCACTTGGCCATGCTTCCAGAAGCTCAGGCAGCATCTTGCCTTGCACCTGCTGAGACCCTAGCCTCTTCTCCTGCAGAGCCTCCAGGCTTCAGGCTTGCCCCATGCCAATGGCTTGCAATTATTTCTGATCCCTTTCCCCTCAGTAACCATCACCAGGGGCAATGGAAAGGCAGACCTAGAGAAACACCCACGTCTGCACCCAAAGTGAGGACTGAGCCTGGCCATCTCTCTTTGCTAACTGCCTTTCCCCTTCCTTTTATAGCCCACGTCCAAGAAGAGAAGGGTAAGTCTTCTCTGCTCTCATGAGTGTTGCCATTGTAGAGGGAGAGGCTCCTTGGCAGAGGGACACGCTGGCTTTTGAGCGACAAAGGTGTCCCCATGTAGGCCATAAGCGCGGTGTCCTTTGCATCCCTGCAGCACTTAGCCATGTTCAGGCAACTCATCTGAAACCTTCACATGTCTGGCATTTATGTAAATGGCTTGGCCCTGAGACAACCTCTTTTGGGAAGGAGGGAAGAGGGAACGAATGTCAAGGACAGGGATGGAAGGAGAGCGGGAAGGAAGGAAACTTGGGTAGGGTGGAGGAAGATGGTATTCATTGTGGGCAGAAGTCACCTTGTCTGAGGTCCTTTAAGTTCAGCTGCATGGCCTTGACAAGTTGCCTTTTTTCTGCTATGAGGCACCAGTACCTACAAGGTTGCCAGAGGCAGGACTTGGCCTTAGCACAAACTTGCGCTTGTCCATGAATGCACTGGACTTCTTGGGAGGATCCCAACCTTCCCTGGGGCTTCTGGCAATGCATCCTCCAATGCCTGTAACTGCCTTTCTCCTCTCCCTTGCAGGGCACCTTCAAGAGACGACAGGTGAGTGCTGCCTGGCATATGGGAGGCTGCTTGTCCCTTGAGTGCAGGGTGCGAATGGGGAGTACTCTGTGTGCATGGCCCTAGCCCTTCCTCCTTGCCAGCAAGCAACAGAACCTGCTGCTTGCCTCCCTCTCTGCCCTTCTGCCCTCTTTATCGCACGTGGCACCAATACTCTGGAATGGTGTCTTCAGCGGGAACACCCAGGTGGAAAGTCATGGGCTTTTCCCAATGGCTCCCGTCCATCAAATTCAGAGCCCACCATTGCCATAGGGAACATTCCCCATATGTCTGGCCTCACCCTCCCCAACTCCAACTCATGGAAAAGTGTCCCTCCTAAAAAGCCTGCCTCTTCTTATCCATGCTTCTCACCATCCTCTTGGGCAATGCATTTCCTGGACCTATAGACTCCTTGCAGATTGTTCCCTTCTTCTGCTGTTTGTTATACTGAAGGAGTCTAAGGCTTATGCTGACAGTGCAGGTATGGCAGGACTCCTACGCTTCCACACAGCTGGGGAGCTCTCCACTGCAGCCTCTCATGCTTCTCCCTGTCTCTTGTGAACTTGGCAACACACACCTGATGGCTCACTGCCAACTGTGGCCAGCCCTGCCTCTCTCCATGCATCACTTGGCCATGCTTCTAGAAGCTCATGCAGCATCGTGCCTTGCAGCTGCTGAGAGCCTATGGTTCTTCATAAACCTGCAGAGTCTCCAAGCTCCATGCCTGGCTCATGCCACCGGGTCCTCATTCCTGCAGATCCCTTTCCCCACAGTAGCCATGAAGCGAAGCAAAGGAAAGGCAGACACAGCCATATGCCCACATTGGGAGCACAGATGGCGACTGAGGCCAGTGATTTCTCTTTGATAACTGTATTTCCCCATTCTTTTGTAGCCCAAGTGAGAGAGATGATCGGTAAGTAGTCTCTGTTGTCTGGGATGCTACTGTTCTGGAAAGAAAGAGGCCTTCTAAGAGAGACGTGTATATCTGAGAGACAAATTTTCTTCATGTGAGTCCTGAAGAAATTATTCCTGTGTTCTTCGACAGCAGTCCAAATGATCAGGATGCGATGCTGAGGCTTGCACGTGTGGTGGAATGCCCACAAGTGTCATGCCTATGAAAAAAGCTCATATAGGAATATGGAAGGCATGACAAAGAGAGGGAGGGAAGGAGAGAAGGAAGGAAAGAATCAAGGAAGGAAAGACCCGTAAGGTTGAGGCGTAGGATTATCAGTGTGGGTGGAAGTCAACTTCTGTGAGGTCTTCTAAGTCCAGCTGGGTGTCCTTGGCAAGGTGCCCTTGTTCTGCTGTGCGGCAACAGCACACTGAAGATTGCAAGGGCCACGATTTGGTCCCAGCACACTTCTGCACTAGTCCATGAATGCACTTGCCTTTTGCGAGGATCCCAACTCTAGCCAACTAATTCCCTGGGGCATCCTGCAATGCGTTCTGCGCTCTCTGAAACTGCTTTTCTTCTCTCTCTTGCAGGACAACTTCAAGAG